TAAAAATTAAAAAACGAATAATGTAAAAATAAATAATTTTAAAAATAGGAATAAAATATTATTTAACTTCCAGTAAGAGGCGGAAATATTTTTTTTGCTCCTCCGATAAGCTCCAAAGCTTTTAAAATAATATTTCACTTCTTTATGTAGTGAAGACTTAGAGGGCAAGGACACATTGTTTTGCTTTCTAAAGATAAGAGAAGATCAAATCCCCTTATCTTTGAAGAAGCAAACATTGAAAGTGGTTTAGAAAAGCTAACATCACCTAGATTATATGAGAGGCAGCGTGATGGAATCAGGCTCTCGTCAATTTTTGGGCATGTAGAGTTATAGGTATCATCTTGAAACTTGTTCACTTGTCTTTATTTGGATGAAAAAAAATCCATTTATCTTGAACACAAGTCGAGATATTAGAGAAAGAAGGATGTGGGCGTCACCTGTTTTCAGAGGTAAAATTAGAGAGAAAATGGTCACCAAAGATTAGTTATTTCTTTAGCTTAAGAGTCCTTGGTAACTGAAAATTTACCTTTTTGTGCTTTTAATCAACGTTTTTTTTTTGGTATAAGTCCACACAGAAATTAGTTCTTTAATGGGCATGAAAGGTGTTGAGCCAAAAAACAAAAATTTGATAAAAATTCACAAACCTTCGGAAAAATGCAAGTTTCGTAACTTTGATTATTTTGACGAGAGCCTGATTCCACCACGCTGCCTCACATATAAGTTCTAGTAAAAAGATATAGATCTAGCACGGCAACGAGGTGAAATCAGGCGCTTGACAATTTAGTAAAAATCTAAGAAACCGGAATTTTTCCTACAGCTGAACAATCTTTCTCATCCCCTCCCCCCCTCAACATTTTATGTCAAATTACAACACCAATTTACAGACAAGATATATGTGGATTTTCTATATCAAAAGTAAGATAAACAAACACGCTTTATAACTGAATCAGTAACTCCATAACACCAACCTCCCTCCACCCCAAAAAAAAAAATAAAAAAAATGACAAGAGCTTGATTATCCGTGTTGCGGCACAATTTCAGAATGTGCGAACAACCAGCAATAAATGAAAAATTGACATAAAGTAGGCAAATTTTTAATAGATAACAAAGAAGAAAAGCACAGTCAGCATGCATGATTCAGCAACTGAATAAAAAACGTTCATCTTATCATCGAGAACCTATCGCATAGTGTGGGACCCCATGGCCTTGCTTGATTTTCACGCCAGTATTGCTGGACTATTGTCTCTTTTAAGCACAAGGCGGCTATTTAAAAAAAATGCTGTTTTTGAGAAAATTGAAGGTAAAATGTTTGGCCCAAGTTCAGTTTCTTTAAAAGACAAGGAGAGTTTTCTCTATAAGCAAACAAATATACACACCAATGAAACCAAACTACTTCTATAGGTAGCGCAATGTCCACTTTTGGTGTAGGTCAAGATTTCTGGAAATCCCCAAAATCTGGGTTAGCCCGCTTGTCCTTAGAAGCGACCAATTACCATCCATTACAAGAAAATAAGTACAAAGTTAAGTAATACCAAGAGGCTAGCCCAGGATGTGGAAAAGCGGAAAGGGTTTGTTCGTGGCCTATACCCTGACATAATATAAAGGTATCATAAACTTTTGAAGATCAATATCCGTTCAAAGAATATAAATTCGAGCACATGTATGCACACGCTGACATAAACGCGCGTGCGCACATACACTCACTCACTTTCTCTTTTTAAGATACACACACACACACACACAC